GAAAATATAATCCAAATTTTTCAATATCAGAAAATATAATCGGATATTTTCTAATAGAAATATAATGTCAAAATTTGTTAGGATATATAATATAAAGGTTGTTGAAATCTCTTTTGTTTAAGAGAATCCATTAGTAAATCAAATTCTTGAAACATAAAACCTCTTTCCATTTAGAAATTTAAATACGTGTTTCAAGAAAAAAACATTCTTATGATAAACATGTTTCCATGTTCATCTAGATATCTACCTAATTAACAATTTTGAAAATAATATCTTTTACAAATAAATTATAGTATATTATATTATTAAATATAAATATTCCGTATAATATTTTGGATATCTACTATAAGTATAAATAACCCAAAAATCAATCACTCCACAAATCAATTTCATATCGTGAGAAAAAAAAATCCTTCTCCACGTATCAAAAAATAAAAAATAAAAAAATTGTCATAGATCAATTAGGCTTGATAAGTCAACTCACAGTTAATATGAGCTTCAATCTTATATTAGCTTCAATCTTAGGCTAAGAGCCATACGCATTTTCAAGAGATCATTCCAAAACGATTGGGAAATACTTTTCCATGATATGCAGGTAAATATATTGCAATGAATTTTTGTTTTGATAATTGTTTACGTTTTTTTATTAGCTCAATAACAATGTTTATTTGTTGTGTAGGGATCACGAATAACGGGTATAGTTCGTGGTGAGCCCATATTTGTTGGATTGCTTGAGGAGGGCGGGGTCTATATATTTACCAACTACCGACTAGAGCTAAACGTTGGTAAATTTAAATCTACTAATGCAGACTACAAAGTTATAATTTATGAGGATACTCAGGTCGTTCACGTGCTATCTACTTTCCCTACATGGGAATTCGACTTACATAGTTTTGCATTTCTTCAAAATGATGACATTGTCGACGAGTCAATCCTGTATGGTACATCTTTTATTTATTGGTGTATTTGAATTTTTTTCAATTATACTTTTTTATTGTTTGATTTGATATATTAATTAATAAAATATTACATAATTTTTCTACTAATATTTATTGTACATGCTATTGGTATGGTTGTTGAAGTTCGACCCATTAATTTATATTTCATAAATGGAGAAGAAAAGCAAGGGATATCTTTTTCAATGATGGATTTAAAGTAAGAAATATATGTATTACATGAATTATGTATTTGTAAATTGTATGAACAATTCAAGATGTTAACTTTTTTTTTTATTAATTACTGGATTAGTGTTGCGTTGCGAAGTTTGGGGTGAATATGTTCAAGACTTTCTTTTTTGTGAAAATTACTTCCAAGCTGCGGACGATGGAGAACCATGGGTTCTCATCATGCAATTATGTAGGATAAAAAAAATATTGTAGGTATTTAGAATTTGTGCTTTTTTTATATTATAATGTAAAATAAATAATGATATTATATATAATTTAAATTACAATTTAACATATATTTTTGTTTTGCAACAGGTGAGTATCAATTGAGTTCATATCTGAATGTGACACGCCTTTTTGCTTCTAATGTTTCGGAAATTATACATTTTCGCACCAAGTAAGTGTTCGCGAACAATTGACACTTTATTTTGTTTTTGAACTTTTTATATAGATGTTGTATATATTTTGTGTATATATTTTCAATTATCATTTTGTTATTTAATTAATTTATTTAATTTTTTCATATATTTTATAAATTGTGTACACAGTTTTTTAAGCAGCAAATGGTATAAGCCGAATATGTACGTCACCAACTCCAATATTGTGATGGAGAGCTGAATAGAAATGCATGACAGTGGGGATAGGAAGAGTGATAATTGTTGCCGTGCTGTGAAGAATTATTTTATTTCGCTTTTTATTGATTTCATTGTTGCGTTTTCAATTTTTCAAATAATTTAGTATTGCTGTTCAATGTTGTGTACAAATTATTCTTTTTACCGAGTACCGAATCGAAAGATTCGTTCCCCGGGTCGATCTCACGAGGAAGGCGGTTCGGAATTTAGTTCTGATATCGATAACACATAAAAGCAAAGAAAATCCTAAACATACTAATCAGATAAGGGGGTTGAATTATCAGCTAAGAAAGAACATAAAAATAGTAATCTACCTAAGAAATACGAACGAAACAATAAAAAAGAAACTAGGGAGTCAGGGATAATTAATTCAAGTTCTAGCAAAACCGGGCAATCAATTGTTCGGTTCGAGATTGACACTCTCGCTTAGACATCTAGCGGTTCGCTCCCAATAACTCTTCGTAACAAGGGATTGAACATAGACGAACAAGTTCGAGCATACGACACAGGCCAATTATCCCAATCCCAATAACTTTTCATAGCAAGGGACGAGTCATTGACAAGTGCGTATTTCAATCTAAAACACGTAGATTAGTCAATTACGGCATCGTCTACCTCATGTGAGCCTAAGTCTACGACTTCTCCCCTTTCGGTTCAAAAAGTCGCTAATTTAACTAGAAGAGTATTAATCGACTAATCACATAGAATCAACGAAACCCTAACTCGACTAATCAACATTCAATTGTTACCAATTGCAAGATCGAAGTGTCACTCTTCGATTATATCAATCAATCAAGCAAGAATATATCAATCCCTAATCAAAACAACTCACATAAGAAAGAACAATTTCAAACTCGAGAGATGCATGTTAAACAAGAACAATCATTCCCCTATCCCTAGCGATAAGATTAGCTACGTAAATTCAATCCAACACACATAATCAATTCTCCCAATTCAACCATTATTCATGAATTAAACATAAGGGAAAAGAAACTTACGATTAATCACAAATCCAAGTGTTGAATATCAATTACAAGCTTAATCCCAAAAGCAAGAACAATTTCTAGGTGAAAAATATAAAATAAAGATAAAAAGAAGAAGAAAAATGGAAAAGAAGAAGAAGAAGAGAAGAGAAGAAGAAGAGAGGAGTGTTCGTGGTTTCTCGGGACCTAGGGTTTGCACCCCGGTCGAGTTGGAAGTGAAAGAATGAAGAAGAAAACGAGTTTTTTGGGTTTTTATATCATTTTGGGACTTCCAGGGGGCCTTAGCGCCGCTAAGGGGGTTAGCGGCGCTATGGGATGAAAGCCCGAGCTGCTGGGGGTCGTTTTCATGGTGTAACGCCGCTAGGTAAGCCAGGCATAGCGCCGCTAAGGCCTTAGCGCCGCTATGGCCTGGGCAGTGCGACTTCGCGTTTTTGGCTCGTTTGGGCTCGTCCGAACTCGGAATTGAGTTCCGCTTTTTCCTACGCGTCGCTAACGAAACCCTCTTTCTAATGGTGTTAGCTTTCCCAAAAAATTCTCAGAAACCTGTTCCCCCGAAGCTCCCGACCTACACACCAAAAACGAAAACACAAACGGAAGACTACCGGAAAAAACATAAGAATTACCGGGGCACTCAAGACAACACAAAACACACGATAAATGACAAAATGAACCTAAAACCAATCAAATGACTCGAAATAGGGGAAAAAGAATGAAAAAATGACAACAAAAAACGCAACAAAAATGGGACAAACATTCAATATCTATGACATTTTGTTTTATTTAAGCCGATTAATGCCTACTCTATTTTATTATTGTTTTGTTATTACTTTTAAATTTAATGTAATATAAATTTCTTCATATTAATTATTCGTGGAATTTATTTTTTAAGGTAATGGCGTAGCAATTTTAAAATTATTTAATATAATTAGATAATTATATAAAATGTAACTGAACTTTTAGATAAGTACACAAATTGATAAGTACTAATAAATTTTGACCACATCTCTAATTAACTTACCCAATAAGATAAACATCACCCATATAGAAGAGGAGATAAAGATCAACTATATTCACGTGAGTATATGCCACCTTTAATTTCACCGGATTTTGTGTTACACAATAAAAATTAAAAGTCGAGATAAGTCCAAATAACGGCCAAAGAAGTTGTGAAAGTCACGGCTTTTTCATATTATTTTATATAATATTAGATAATTATATACAAATTAATTGAAATCTTAGATAAGTACACAAATTGATATTGATAACTACTAATAAATTTAGACCATATCTCTAATTAACTAATTGATAAGTACTTTAAATTTAAAACATATCTTGAGAATAATTTAAAATTAATTATGTAAATGACGGCTATAATTTATTTTGTTCAACTTACACGAATACTATTATGTTATATCAGATAGTATTAATAAATATTGACCACATCTCAAACTATGTAGCTTACGACTCTAACTGTTTCTTTTCAAATTATTTACAAAATATCATTTACTTACCTAATAAGATAAACATCACCATATAAGTACGTATAAGTTAAAGCACTTTTTTAACTACATGCAGTTATCAATAAAATAACAATATATAAATATTTATTTATAAAAAGATAAAAGGTCGTATAGTGTTGTGTGTCGCATCGAGCGGAATAGCATCACTTTTGTTGCTTGGTGGACGAACTGCTCATTCTCGATTTGGAATACCATTGAATCCCCACCAAGAGTCTTCTTGCAATATCGCTCAGGGAAGCCCTCTTGCTGAATTGATAATACGTTGTTCTTTGATAATATGGGATGAGGCTCCAATGATGCACAAGCATTGTTTCGAAGCTGTACAAGCATCGTTGCAAGATATTATGGGAGCAATTGATCCTTCTAAAAAGGATAAACCATTTGGAGGCAAATCAATAGTTTTTGGTGGAGATTTCCGACAAATTCTTCCTGTAATTCCAAAGGGTAGCCGTCAGGATATTGTGAATGCTGCGATTAATGCTTTTGACATTTGGAGGAGTTGTACTGTGCTCAGGCTTACGAAGAACATGTGTCTACAGAGTCTGAGAGATTCCGAGAAACGTGAAGAGGTTGCTCGGTTCGCTGAATGATGGCGAGCATTGGTGATGGAACTATAGGAGGGTCAAACGATGGTTGTGCAATGATTGACATACCTGAGGATATATTGCTTCAACCATCCGATGATCCAATTGCTCAAATTGTAGAAAGCACGTATCCAATGTTTAAGCAGACAACCGATGATCCCAGTTATTTGAAGGACAGGGCAATATTAGCACCGACGCTTGATGTTGTTGAGTCCGTCAATGAGTACATGACATAGTTGAATTTATCAGACGGTAATACGTACTTGAGCTCTGACAGTACTTGCAAGTCCGACTCCAATAATGATTTTCTTTCTGATATCCATACGCCGGAGTTCTTGAATAGCATCAAATGCTCGGGAATTCCTAATCATCAACTGCATTTGAAGATTGGAACCCTTGTCATGTTGTTGCGGAATATGGATCATTCTATGGGTTTATGTAACGGGACACGGTTGGTTGTGACAAAACTATCCGCTCATGTTATTGAGTGTAAGATACTCACTGGCGATCATGAGGGCGATAAGGTATTGATTCCTAAAATGGCTATAACTCCTTCCGATGTCAGAATTCCTTTCAAGTTCCAGAGGCGACAGTTTCCTATTATGGTATCGTATGCAATGACTATCAACAAGAGTCAGGGACAGTCGCTATCCCATGTTGGTTTATTGCTTAAGAAGTCGGTGTTCAGTCATGGGCAATTATATGTTGCCGTCTCCCGTGTCACAAATCGAAGTGGGTTGAAGATATTAGTCTGTAATGACGATGACTTGCCACCAAATCAAACCCAAAACGTTGTGTACAAAGAAGTGTTTACTAATTTATGAAGTTTTAAATTTGTTATTTTCCATTTTATATATGTTATGTATCCACAAAGTGCATTAAATTTAATGTTGATATATAAAAAAAACCCAAATAATATACCAGCCCGTGCATCGCACGGGTCAGTACTAGTATAGATAATTAAGGCAAGGAAAATAAAACTACATTATATATACGGATGAATGTTCTAGACTCAATTTGGTATGGCTTGTTTAACAAATGAAAAATCATAATTAATTGTTAGACAAAATAATTTGTGCAACATGCTATTGTTTGTCCAAACTTAAAAGTAAATGAATGTTAAATAAACATGTTCAATTAATTATTCAAATTCGACTCGTTTAAGTAAATGAAACGGTTTTTGATCTTTCTAAATCGAGTTATTAGTGATTATGCTGACCAACATCGGTTCTAGAACAGTTTAACCTAATATATTGCACGTGATTGGGTTGATTACTCAATAATTCATAACTCGTCTCGACTCTAGTCCTTATATACTCGACTTGTTAAGCTTAGGAGTCGATAATTATAAGTGAGGTTGAGTTCGACTAGTTAAGAACTCGAGTGTTAGTAAATTGGATTATGCTAAAGGGGTGTTTGTAAATAAAGTAAATTAATTCATACTCAGCTTATAATCAAAATTTAATTTAACCCCACTACTTTCAATATTAATCAATCATTCTTATACATAACATCGATTTTAATTAATTCACTATTGATTCACCAACATATTGTTAACTAATCATCTATTCACATGATCCCTTTCATACTTTTATATTAAATCAACTTTAATTATTATTTCTAAATACTATTTTAATATGCACTACCCTAGCTTACGGTGAGTCCATGCGAAAACCCTAGAAAGATCCCTCCCCTGACAGCCTTATGGCTAAGGTCCAAAATATAGAAGAAAGAAGCGTTACATCTAAAAATTTAACTAACAACTAACTATACGGCATTTTTAAAATTAACTATTGTTAAAAAGAAAAAAAAAAAAACTCAATTTGTTTTGAGCAGTTATATTTATATCCAATTACAACATAATAAGTGTTTAAGAAATTACCTAAAGTTATATGAGAAATGCTATAGGTACATAATACTGTACATAAGGGTGTACATAACACTTACATTGAGTGGGACCTACCAAAAATAAAAAATTAAGTGGATTCCACTCCATGTGAATATTATGTACACCTCTATGTACATTTATTATGTACTTGTAGCATTTTCCAAGTTATATTTATCAAAAGCCTTAACGAGCTTGATTCATTGACTCAACGGTGCTTAAACGAGCTCGAGCTTTGCTCTTTATCGAACAAAATCGAGTTAAATTTGAATATTAACAAGTCGAGCCAAACTCGCAAGCTCGTTTAGCTTAAAAAAAAGGGAAAAAATAATTAAAAATAAAAACAAAATGCCGATTACAAGTCAACAGAAAGAGCCGCCACGAAAATTCAGTCCCCGCCATGGAAGAGGTTGAGCCACCGGAGTGCCCGGTGTGTCTGCAGACATACGACGCCGTAGCAGCCATCCCCCGCGTCCTCACCTGCGGCCACACCACCTGCGAGGCCTGTCTGAAGCAGCTTCCCCGCCCATTTCCCAACACTCTCCGCTGCACAGTCTGTACTCTCCTGGTGAAAATCCCTAATTCCCTTTCCGCCCTACCCAAAAACCTAGACCTCCTTCATTTTTGCTCCGTAATCCAACTCCGTGGCCCGGCCGAGGGCGATAAAATCAATTCACCATCGTCACCGCCCGGAAATGGGAAAATCCGGTCGGTTCTGTTTCCTTCGAATACGAAATCGTGGTCGTATGAGTTCTTCTGTAAATGGAAATGGTGGGTTGTACCTACAGAGTGTATCTCGATTGAGAAAAGAGAAGTATTGAAGTCTTTTGAGAGTGATCGTGCGATGGGTTTTGTTTTGAGGGAGAAAGAAAACGTGGGTCTTGTTAAAGTTGGGATTTTTGCGAATGATGAAGAGGAGTCCAAGCTTTTCAGGGCTAGCTACGAGTCAAGAATTATGACTGTTTTGTATGGAATGAAGGAAGAGGAAAGACATAAGTTGGGTATTACATTAAATGCTGCACATAAAATAAGCCATGTAGGGAAAGCATATGGTTTTTGGCTGAACGAGGATGATAACTGTGTTTATATCGTTTGGCAGAGGTTTGCTTCATCGAACTTGACGAAATTTGTTCTCACGGAAAAGGATGATGAAGAGGAAAGGCTGAGTAGGGATGAAATAAGTGGCTTGTGTATGCTTGGTATGGAGATGTGTGAAATTCTTAGTCGCTTGCATTTCGAGGGATTGGTTATTGGCTGCTTGAGTGTGAGTTCTTTTGGTTTTGATGATTTTGGTCATGTTTGCATAGACTTAAGTGAGGTTCTAAATTCGGGTATGAGAGTACGTACAACGGTGAAAAGGGCTTCTAAAGATTTGCAAGTCAATTTGAAGAGTAGTTTATTAGATGAAAATGGTGTGTTTATCAGTCCTGAGATGTTTCTGCTGTTTATCGACAAGGAGGGATTTGGGTTCGTCTCAGAAAAGTCGCGATATGTAGTTGGGTATGCTTCCGATGTTTGGTCAATAGGCTCTTTCCTCGTTTGGCTAATTGTTGGAAACTCGTTTGTAGATGAGATGGAAATTTTCTTGCAATACGTTGTTAATGCTATAAAAGATAAAAGATGCTGTGATTATTCTAGTTTGTACATTAGTTGGATGGAAAAAATTGCAGAACTTTTAAAACTTCGTCTGGGCTCGTGTTGTGATTCCCTATGTGAGATGTTGTGCAGATGTCTGGAGTTTGACCCTGAAAATCGCCCAGTTGTAACTGAACTGTGGAAATGCCTTAGAGATTTGATTGTCAAACCGCGATTTGATATTGGCCCTGGCTTAAGACAGAAAGTAAAGAAGGAACACACAAGAAACTGTATATTACTGGGAGAGATATGTGACATTTTCAAGGAAATTGACAAAGAGTTGAAACATTGTATGAAAGGAAAAGATGAGAATGATGCAGCTGATGCAGACACTGTTGAGGGGTTTTCCAGTGGTCGTTTCAAATGTATCGAGATGAGAGGTCATCTTGATTGTGTTACGTGTTTAGCCGTTGGAGGTATGAATTTCTGTCACAAATGAGTGCATTATCCTTTTTTTTATTATTATTATTTTTTTCTGTCATTGTTTGTGCAGTACTGTACATTTGTGCTAGCTTCTTGAGTCTTACATTCATGATGAGTTAAATTTGCAAACTAGGCCACTCACAAGGAAGTTATGAGCCTAGTTTTTCTTCTTCCGTTTCCTCTTTGGATTCACGCATCAATTTTTATTTTTTTATTTTTTTTCTATGGTTTGTGTGAATATGTGACTAAATTAAACTTTTTTGTTTGTTCGTTTGTAAGATTGATTTTGACATCCATTCATTCTTTTGTCTAGGAGGCTTCTTGTTCAGCTCCTCCTATGATAAGATTGTCCATGTGTGGTCTCTGCAGGTACACAGTTAGTGAACATATCTTCTTACAGTTAGTTGTTAAAGCAACATAACATGCTTTGTAACGAGAGACCTTGCAAAAATCGAGCAAAATTTTCAATAGGCTTTAAGATCCAGTGCAGAGTTCTTGTTAACCTTGAAAAATTAGTTTTTTTTATTTTTATTTTTATTTTTATTTTTTTAATTCTTTTGACTCCGTTTGCTATTTCAAACATATCTACTTTTCTGGCCAAATCTCAGGATTTCACTCACATACACTCGTTCAAAGGTCACGAACATAGAGTCATGGCTGTTGTTTTCATGGATGGAGAACAACCGTTGTGCATTAGTGGTGACAATGAAGGCATTGCATGCATTTGGAAAGCCGATTTTCCCTTTTCTGAATCGCCTATGACAAAGATCTTTGAGAAAAAAGATTGGCGCTTTAGTGGCATTCATGCAATGGCTATTTCTGGTACCGAATATCTATACACTGGCAGTGGGGACAAACTAGTCAAAGCATGGTCTCTGCAGGTGTTCAAAATCTATCTCTCTACTATATTTTAGTTAGCCTGTGTCTGTGTGTCGTAAGCAAATAAGCTAGCTTATAGCTTATTTGATTAGCTTATAAGCTTTCTATATTTAAATAAGCTTGGTTAAAAAGCTCAAACTTATCTCATAAGTTGCCTTGGGTAGCTTTTCAAATAATCACATTGAAATTTTTATTTCAGCTAGCTAATCAGCTAATTTTACAAATACTTTTATCATATAAGTTAGTTTTTCCTACTTTATCAAACGTGGTTTGAAAAAAGCAGAAGGACCTTGTTGGTAGTCTTGGGAAAGGGCACACTTTCTAGGATAGTAGGCGCAAAAGGTCGTAGCTAAAATGATGGAAAAACAAAGACATTGAAATCCCAGCTTCCAGAGCTAATTTTCACTGCCCTTCGCTTCGCTTCGTTTGTTTGGTCGAGTATCTGAAAACCTGAGCGAGTAGCTGGCAACGTCGAGAATCACAAGCCCTCCTCTCCCTATGGTCAAGTATCTTCAAACCTGGAGGCTAAGTTATAAACTATCACTTATACTAGAAATCACTTATAAGCTATAAGCTTATCAGCTAATATGCTAGCTTGTAGCTTACAACTTATGACTTATAGATGAAAAGCTAGCTTATATGATAGAAGTGTTTGGTAAAATTAACTAATAAACTAGTTGAAATAAAATTTTCAACGAACTTATTTGAAAGCTACCCAAAGAAGCTTATGAGATAAGCTCGAGCTTTTTACAAAAGTTCGTCCTACCAAACAAAGTTTATTTGAATACAGGAAGCTAACCAAATAAGTTATAAATTAGCTTATTTGGTTAACAAACATAGCGTCATAAATTAGTTTATTTGGTTACCAAACATAGCCTTAGTGTATCGAAAAACTATAATTTGTCAAATGTTTTCAGGATTACACTCTCTCGTGTGAAATGAGTGGTCACAAATCGGTCGTCTCGTCACTGATAGTTTGGAAAGGTGTTCTCTTTAGTGGAAGCTGGGATGGGACTGTCCGGTTATGGTCTCTAATCGATCATAGCCCGTTAACTGTGTTGGGAGAGGGCCAATTCGGAAATGTGGGTTCTGTTTTGTCTCTTTCTGCTGATCGCGATTTGCTGTTCGTCGGTCACGAAAATGGTATTGTTAAGGTACTGATGCAAAGAATCAAGATTCATTTGTTAAATTTTTTTTATAACTTCAAAAAGAAAATAAAAAAATGGCCGAATATCTTAACAGTCTCGTCGTTTTATTGTTGCTCTAGATGTGGCACAATGATGTTCTTCTGAAGTCCACACAGACTCACAAAGGTGCTGTTTTCTCGGTTGGGAAAAAAGGGAAATGGCTATTTAGTGGTGGGTGGGATAAAAGCATCAATGTACAGGTGAAATGTTACATAAAACCGAACGGAAAAAAAAAACCAAAAAAATGTTATCATTTTCGGTTTAATAATGCTATATTCTTGTTTTATAGGAAATATCCGAAGATGTAAGTGGAGTGGATGTCATAGCCGTTGGATCTATCCCTTGTAATTCGACTATAACATCGCTCGTTTATTGCAATGGGAAGCTATTTGTCGCGCAAGCCGATAGTATCATAAAGGTATGAGTACGTAATTTGCTGAATTAATCGTTTGTTCTTTCCATGAGATCAACTGTGGGGAAATGTTTTGATCATTTGTTGCTTTTCATTCTTTTATGGATTGGATTTTCTTGTTCCTAGCAAGACACAAGGAAAAAAAAAAAAAAAAAAAAATTAGTCGCAATAAAATCCTTTTGTTTTTCGTGGCCAAACAGGAAAGCTCGTTAATGGTAAAGTTTCGAAAATTTTCAGTTATTCGCTGATATATAAAAAGCTTCTTTCCTGACCTGAAAACAGGTCTACTACCATGGTGTGTAGTGGAGATCATGCGTCTGATCGGACGGCCCAGATTAATCAAGAAGATAACCATGGTTTGTTGTAAATATCATACAAGGAAAACAAAAAAAAAAAAAAAATATTTTTTCACAAGTACACAAGCAAAGACTGTTAGAATCCTATGGCAGATCATGAAAAATGTAGGGAAAATCTTTACTATTATTTTCATTTTTATACCTTTTTTTTTATTTTTATTTTTTGGGTTTCAAATATGTAATATGGGTTTTTAATTTTTATGCATAGGAAAACAGGAAGACAAGAACATGATATAGGTTTTTAGGATGAGATTGATGCTAGTGGATTTGTATGGAAATGTAAGGGATGTTTATGATAAAGTATTTGTACTTATCAAATTTATGCAGATATGCAAAAAATGGGTTTAAGCTTGAATGCATTGGTAACTAAACAATAAAGCATATTTGTTGTGTGATTAAAACTCAATGCTATCATCACAAGAGAAGTCAAAATATTTGAAAAAATAAAATGCTTGACAAATGGGAGTGAGAAAGAAAATACTAACAAACAACATATATAATGTAATTATAAGTTATGTTAGTTATAATAGTTGAATCACTTTCTTTTCTTAATGAATGTGTATAAAAAAATAATTAAAGAAAATACTCACAAACAACATATATAATGTAATTAAGTTATGTTAGTTATAATAGTTGAATCACTTCCTTTTCTTAATGAATGTGTATGAAAAAAACATAATTAAAGAAAATACTCACAAACAACATACATAATGTAATTAAGTTATGTTAGAATAATGGTTGAATCACTTTCTTTTTTTAATAAATGTGTATAGAATTACATAATTGAAGAAAATACTCACAAACAATATGTTACTTATAATGATTGGATCACTTTTTTTTTTTTTAATAAATGTATATAAGATAACATATTTTTAGAAATAATGTAAACATACATTTCTTTTTTATATATTTTCATTTAAAAAATATAACATAAATCCAATCACTTCAATAAATGTGGATAATTTTTTACTAAAACAACATATTTTTTCGTACAGGGCAGGAATGAGCTACTCTATACAAGAGGATGAAATGTGATGAAGTGTTTGGAAGTGAGTATCAAATGTACTCTAGAATAATATGTAATATTGGAATTAAACCTTAAATTGCTACTCAGTACTATATAAAACGTATTTTAAATAATATGTGATATGATACGATTGAGTTTCAAATTGAAAAAGATAAAAAAAATAATAAAATAGAGTTTGGATTTGTAAAAAATAAAAAATAATAAGAGTTTTGGTAATTTTGTTCTCTCGTAGCATAATTTAAATACTAAATTTCAATTTAGGTATGCTACAAGCGATTTCAAGTATTTTTATGCTATCGAGCGCGCTACAAACACTTATTAAAACACTCTTTTTGACAGACTCAAAACTTGTAGAATTTTGTGGGGGGAATGAATAAATTATCGTGAATTTTTTTTCCTTTTTCTCATATGTCATTATTATTATTATTATTATTATTATTATTATTATTATTATTATTATTATTATTATTATTATTATTATTATTATTATTATTATTATTATTATTATTAGCTAACAAAAATTATGCTGTCCCATGGCTTACTATTTTAATAAATGAAGAAATAAATTTCATCTGCCCTTTATTCAAATTAGATAAAAATGCCTCAGTTCATTATTATCAGCTATTGATTAATTTACATAGATAATTTGGTTAAATTATAATAATGATAATAATTTATGATTAAGATTATTTTTATATATTGATTATCTATGATTTGGAACAAGAATTTTGTGCTCGTGTAATGGTGTGATACTCTTGCGTGCATAATATATAAGATCCATTATATATGGCATTCACCCAAATAAATAGGAATCAGAATAAAAGATTTTAAATGCTATGTAATGTTTTAATCGTAAATCCAAATTTTTTCGAACTTAAGTTTTAACTTTACGTAACCGTATGTGTCAAATTATGGTGTTTTGTAATTGGAATTGTTAATTTTTAGTGTTTCATATTATTGCATGCATATTTTGGTTTTTATCCTTGCATATTAGAACTTATAAGATTATAAAATACTTGATAACTTGAGAATATATATTTTAAAACTTATTAACTGAATATTTGTTTTATATATTTACATATAGGCAAAATTGCGTCTAATATCATGACTTTATTGAGGTTGCAAATTAATCAGAACTTTTTCACTTTTCACACTATATCACGCTCTTTAATTTTTTTGCAAAACGATACACGGTTTTGACCACCAGTCCTAGAAAAGCCTATGTGACACTCAAAATGCCACCACACCTCTTGAGTTGTATTTACCAGCCAATTTTTTTCTACCTGATCAGACTGAGACGACGTCGTTTCATCTCACTTTTTGAGTACTTTTTTCAACATCATATACGTCTTTTCGTTTTAATAAAAAACTGAGCAATTAAAAAAATAAATAATAAAACAAAACAAAACAAAATTAAAAGTTCACTCTCCCACCACCGGTCCACCGCCCTCTGCCACCGATGAACAATTCCAATGACCCCAACAAGCTGGCTTCCACCCAACACGAGCCTTCATCCATCGCCGCCGTTGCCGCCCAACCTCTACTCTCCAAACCCTATCAACTACTTTGAGACGCCCATCGCCTCCATCTCCGGACACGAACAAGAACAAGAAGACCAATCACAGTACCTTCAAATCTCCTACAGTTACGACCCTCGCTCCATTATAGACTTGCCTTTTATCCTTCTGTTTGGTCTCCTCGTTCTCTGTACTCTCATCTTTGGAATTTTTGCCTTTGTCTAGAGAAACCCTTACCGTTGCCAAATTTCGTCTTTTGTCTACAATACAATGTCGTCCTCATGCTATCTGCTGAAAAACAGTGTTGATTTCTCTGTAATTTCTCCAAAGTTGTCACTTTTCACAGACCTGAGTAATAATTCACCCTTTTCAGACAAGCCCACGGCCTTAAATTCTATAAGTTCGAATCTTGTTAAGAGCTTGATATGGACACTTGTGATAACCCTGTTTTTAAGCAGTCTCTTTGTGCTCCCTTACGTTGCTCAAACGCTATGACGTGGAAAAAAAGAAAACCTAAAAGGTGAGAAGAAAAGACGTCTTCTTAGTTTGAGGTGGAAAAAAAAATCGAGTGGTAAATGCAACTCGGGGGTTGTGCTGGCATTTTGAGTGCCACATCGACTTTTCTATGGGTGGTGGTCAAAATCGTGTGTCGTTTTGTAAAAAATTGAAGAGCATAATATAGTGTGCAAAAGTGAAAAAGTTCTGACTAATTTGCAATCTCGATAAAAGTCATGATATTAGGCGCAATTATCTTTTAATACAATTTTCAATTTTGACATTCAGATTGGATATATAAGATTTAATTATATATACCTTTATAAATAATAGTTATATATTGAAACTTAGTAAAAGTAATTATCAAGCCTTACTTTTTGATAAAATTGTGGAAGAACTCAAACTAATTAAAACATTTATTTTATTTAAGAAATTAATATATTTCTCCTACAATTCCCATAAAACAAATCTAGAGTGGCCCAATAACGATATCGAAACTCCAAAGTCCAATTAAATTGATAAGCCCGGCCCATTTAACCTCTACAAAATTTCAAACTCGAAAACTATAAATACACACAGACGTGCACTCGCCTTTAGTTGTTTTTGTCGCGGGTTTTTTGCAACGATTCCAATCTCTACACTACAAAATCTCCACCACCTTCATAATCCCCCTTTTCTCTTCTTTTTTCTTCACAGTTTTCTCGTTTTTTTCGTATTCAGCAGCCGCGATGCCTCGCCGTGGAGAGGAAGAGTACGGCGGCCTGGACCCGTACGAAGAGGAGGGCCGCCGCGGCAAGCGGCGTCGGAAGTCTGTGTCCGATTTCTTCGAGGAGGAAGCCCATGAGGACAGCGACGGCGAAGAAGAGGAGGATGAATACGAAGGGGAAGAGGGTTAGGGTTTTTTAACCCCTTTGTTGATTTGTTCTTTTTCGTTCGTTTTTTTTGTTTGGGGAGGGGATTTGCTCTGTTTCTTGTTCAATTTCGCGTCTTAATTGTGTCTCAATTGTGCAAGAAGATCAAATTGGGAACAGTTTTTTGACCTCGAAAAACCCTAGATTTCAGATAACATGGTATTTTCTGTGATTTCAAGTTATTTCGTCAATTGAGAATTCGATTGCTTAGTAATTTTAGCTAATGAGATTGGATTTGAGGCCTTACTGTATTTTTTGGGCTGTGTGGGTTGTGTAATTAATGTTTGATGTGTTGTTCTGTATCAATGTGTAGATTTTATCGACTCTGGGGATGGAACGCCTCACGAGGATGATAGACGGGACAATCGACATAGTCCGATCCCTCTGAATGTAAGGTATGAAGAAGAAGAAGAAGATATTGAAGAAATGGAGAGGCGGATTTTGGAGAGATATTCCAACGACTCGAAAGTCGAGTACGGTGGTGATGAGGGGCCAGCGTACAGGGAACAGCCAGGCCCGCTGCCTTCTCTTTTCGGCCCGAAAATGTGGTTGGTGAAGTGCAAGGTAAGATAAAAAAATGTAATCTTTATGCTTTTTAATTTTGTTCTGAATCGAGTTTATGTAAACTGGGTTTTTTGTTTGTAATTATGTAGATTGGGTGTGAAAGGGAGCTGGCCATACGCCTCATGCAGAAGTCCATTGATGTAGGAAGTGAAATGAAAATCTTTTCTGCTATAGCACTTGATCACCTCAAGGGCTTCATATACGTTGAGGCCAAGAAAGAAGTCCATGTGAAGGAGGTAAGTAGCAAAAGTGCCTCCTTTTTTCTCTTTGTTTTTTTCGTTTTCTTTTCACTTTTCATGTTCATATTTCGATATCTTGGTATTTGCACCTAGTATGGGCGTGAAAACTCTTATTCGTTTTCCTACAGGCTGTTACGGGTATGCAAAATATATACCCACGCAATATGTTGTTTGTCCCGATGCACGAGATGACCGATGTTCTTTCGGTACAAAGTGAAGCACTTGATATTTCTAGTAATATTTGGGTCAGAGTGAAGACTGGGATGTATCAAGGAGATCTTGCAAAGGTATAAATTTTCTACCCGTAAGTTCCTTTTTTGTTTTTTGTCATTCAATGTTAGTGATCTAATGAGGAACCCTTTTTCATTTCTTCGTAAATGCAAGGTTGTCATTGTTGATAGCGGGAGGCAGAGAGCAAAAGTGAAATTAATTCCGAGGATTGATATGCAGGCCCTGGCTGACAAAATGGTTTGTATTACCTCTTTGGTGTTTACACTCTGTAATTGAACTAGATATGCCTATCTTTGACCGTCCCAAATTATAGTCTTTTTCTTTTCAATGTATTATTTACACAAAATGACCAAAAGTACTATTTAGTTGGTTTTTTCTTGATTTGTATCTAAAATTTGTTGTAGATGTTACATTATGAAATATATTAATTCCATTATCTTCTTCTTGTGAATCCGATAGCAACAATCAACTACTGCAAGTATTATTTTTTTTTATGAAAAGCTTATATAATTAGCATGACACGTATATTTGTCTATGATTACGTATAATTACATGACATGCAATCTCAAGTAATCTTTGTATACGATCTTTATGGTGACCAGCCTTTTAGCCTTGTTTCAGGAAGGAAGACAAGTTCCAAGGAAGAAGTCATTTATTCCACCTGCACGACTTATGAATATTAACGAAGCTAGGTACTTTTTCTATATATGTTCTTTTTTCTTTTCTTTATCCTCTCATGTAATATGATTATTTATTTATTTCTCCTTTTTACCCAGAGCACTGGACATTCATGTGGAGCGTAAACGAGATCAAGCTACCGGTGATTATTTCGACAAAATTGGGGGGCTGATGTTTAAAAATGGATTCTTGTATAAAAGTTTCTCACTAAAATCGCTCGTCACGAACAAAGTGCAGCCAACTTTCGATGAAGTCGAGAAATTCAGGCGGCACGGTGAGGCTACCGATAGTGACATGTCGAATCTATTGGCACCCAGAAACAAAACACACTTCATAAAGGGCGATACGGTGATTGTTGTCAAAGGAGATCTTAGAAATTTGAAAGGAGTTGTGGAAAAAGTTCAAGAAGATATCGTTCATGTTAAACCTAATTCAAAAGCCTTTTCTGTTAAGTACCAACTCTTGCTTATATGCTTTTGATGGCTTTTTTTCCAATTCGAAGATTAATGTTTTTCCTGTAAAATGTCTATTTTCATTTCAAGTTTATTAATACTTTTTTTCCAGAAAACTCTTGCTATCAATAACAAGGAGCTTTGCAAGTGCTTTGAACCTGGGGACCATGTAAAGGTTGTGTTTGGTGCTACTGAAGGCATAACTGGTTTAGTGGTCTCGTTTGAGGGTCATGCAGTGACCATAGTATCAGATACAACAAAAGAATTGGTATCATGTGATTATCATTTAACTTGCGAAAGTAAAATATTTGTTTGAAAAAAAAGTCTTGATTTTGTTTCAATATTTGTTTGTTTTTTTTTTTTT